TCGCTTCCTTTACGTTGTTTTTTCCTCATGAGAATGGATCACGTTTTCATGTTTATTTGTATACCGAGTAATTTTAAATTACGAAGTGGACATTGTGAATGATAGATTGCAAAAACTCTGGATTCAGTTAGATTCCTCTGAAGAATGGTTTGTTTGTTTTAGCAGGCAATTAACTTGGCTGGTCTCAAATCACAGATTCTCTCCTCATGCTGTGAGCAGTACCCCACATCTCAATTCAATTCTCTTCGCCTTAGCTGGGCTGCTTGCAGCCTGTCCTGTGTGTGCATGGTTCCAGGTTCAGCTAGGGTTTTGGGCAGATTTTAGAAGACTAGGGTCTGCTGTATGGCGAATGGCCGTTAAAAAACAGGGTCTCATCCAGGGCCCCTCACCCTCGGTGCCAGCCCCACATCAGAGTCCAGCTGCTGTGGGTTGCTCTCCTGTGCGGTCACAGGGTTGCTTCTTATGTCATTGTCCATAGTTGCTATCTGCAAGAGGGTTCATCAAAAAGTTGCTATGCAGGGTGCCTGGGTGGCTCAGTTGGTTAAGCGACTGCCTTTGGCTCAGGTCATGATCCTGGAGTCCCGGGATCGAGTCCCGCATCAGGCTCCCTGCTCAGCAGGGAGTCTGCTTCTCCCTCTGACCCTCCTCCCTCTCATGCTCTCTGTCTCTCATTCTCTCCCTCTCAAATAAATAAATAAAATCTTTAAAAAAAAAAAAAAAAGTTGCTATGCAGACTTGCCAGGAATAGAAAGAGGTCACTATTTTTAAAGAAAGATTTTAGTAGAAATCACATTTTTTAAAAATAATTTTGAGATGGGCAGCGCCACCACCATACAAAAGTGCATTATTTCCTGCAGTTTGAGATACATGAAGAGAAATGCAGTTTTGATGCATTCATGAACCAGACATCCAGTCTGCTCTGCCTGTTTGTAAGAGAAAAAGAGCAGAGGCATACGCTGTAACCCTATGGCTTTGCATTTAGCCACCGGTCAGCCACTGAGTGATATGCCATCCATGACTGGATCTCAAGGCTCCAGACTTGTTTTCTGCAAAGATATCAGGCGGGGTTTTTTGTTAAAAGGTCAGTTCCATTCCTTTGTGGTGAGGCAATGTTGGGTAATTATAAGAGATCATGTTTCAAAACTGGTATTCCCGTGAACTTGCCAAAACGAGCTCTTTCCCTCTTGGCTTATTTCCCTCCCAATTTCTTGCTGCTCTTTCTCCGGATGTTTTCCAGATTCACCTAAGTAGCCTATCAACCCAGGCTGATTTTGTGATGCTTAGGTGATTAAAGTCCACTCTTTTTTTTTTTTTTTTTGAAAGATTTTATTTGACAGATATAGAGAGTACACAAGTAGGCAGAAGGGGAGGGAGAAGCAGGCTCCCCACTGAGCAGGGAGCCCACCACGGGGCTCGATCCCAGGACCCCGGGATCATGACCTGAGCTGAAGGCAGCTGCTTAACTGACTCAGCCACCCAGGTGCCCCTAAAGTCCAATCTTTAAGAAAACGTTATTCGAGCAAAGAGTATTTCTTATTTTTAAAAGAAGAAATGGTTTGTAGTTTCAGAGAGAAGAACAGTAGTGCATTGCTCACAGGGGAAACGCCAGAAATTAGAGAAAACCTTTCTTTCCTGGTGGTAAAAGATGAGGTAAAAGTACGGAGTTAACCAACATTTACTTCAAAGCTTTACTGGTTTTTTTCCATATACTTTATTTCCCACCCTAACAATGGGTAGGGTAGACAGTATTGTTCTCATTTCTGAATGAGTGAACACGTTGAAAGAGGCAAGGAGGCCTGCCCCATAGAAGCCAGCAGATGTGCGGTTTCTAGCTTGTTGCCCACAGCTTGGATGGCTCGATTATCAGCCACTCAGGACCGATTGCCCTTTTCCACTCTAAAGCTGGTCTGTGTTGAAGATTTGTTTTTGCATCTTAGCTCAGTGCTGGAAACGAGGAACCTATTAGACCCCTTTCTTACTCTCCATGAAAATACCTTAGAAGTGAAATCACACTTTGTCGCTCCAGAACGGAAATTTCATCAGACCTCTCCATGCTAGCTGGTGGAGGGTGTGAGAGCAGGTTTCCCTGGAAGCACCGCAGGCCCAGAGAACAGTCAGCAGCCCCACACGCTCTGTGTCCTTGTCCTCTGGATCGATGACTTTGATGACTGTGTTGATGTGGGGGAAGTAAGGAAAAAAAAAAAGAAACACCATGTAAAGCCCTGCTTTCCCCTTCACACATCTCACTAGATGGGACTGGTGGGTGACCAGAGGCAGGATGGCCACGTGTCCTACCGTCTGTACAGGACCAGCCCAAGCTTTCCCTGGTTCATCTACTTTGAAGTTTGAGCCCTAGAAACCGCCATCCCCAGAGAAACCATGGCGGCTCGTTGCCAGCTCACATCGGGCAGCCAGACTCTTTCACATGGAATGTATTGCTACTAAAAATATTTGCAGTTTGGGAAAGTATGTTTAAATTTGACCTCCTTGACCCTCTGCACATTCTAGTTTATTGCTCTGGGTTCTGCAGCAGCTCTAAAGAGAAGAGTTCAGAAATGTCTCCATGTGTACTCGTACTCCCATCTATGGAATAGCCCTCCCATTGTAAAAACAGATCTTTTATGAGTTATTTATACTCTTGACTGCTCTGAGCAACAAATGATGGTTTCTCAGAAGCATTTTGACATGTTATTTTTGGTATGAGAACCAAGCACTGAGATCATAGTACTCCCATCCCCGTTACCACTGTTCTGCCAGGGACGCGACTGGCAGGTTTGGGGAAAGAGAGACCTCGGTGCCTGTCGTGTGCACACGCTGTAAACCGACAGGGAAGCAGGGTCCGAGCGGGACAGCGGTGGGACTCAGACAGTCTAACCCCACAAAGCAGCGAAGTGGTGTATGTGCTTGTGTGATAGAAGGGCCGCCCTGAAGGATTCAGACGGGCGATTCAGTAGGTCAGAGAGCAGGGGAGAGGGTCTCCTGTGGCAGGGACCTCACGGGATCTTTGGAGCTTTTCATGGGGAACAGTAACCTTAAGACCAGGGAGACCCATTTCACAGAACAATCCATATGACATCAACTGCCTTAATGGGACCTATTTAAAATGCAGTTCCCATTGCGCTAAAGAGTATGTCGTCGCACTTGGCCTTCTCAGAGCTTGCCTGTTTTTCAGTTATTTGAAGAAGTTGAAAAAAAGGACAAATTTCTTGATTTTTTTGACCTGATTTTTACAGATTTTTCAGTTGTTAAAACGATGTTTGGAAATTCAGCTTCAGGGTCTATTATTTAGGGCCCTGCATGAGAGAAGCGTGCAGAAAAACTAACCAGGGCCAGCTCCTCTCTCAGGCCAGTGATCTCAGCCTGGACTCCTGCACCCAGTGTGTCCATCTCAAAGAAAATGGCCTGCAGTCCTTCCCTGTTGACAGTGCAGTAGGCTTGGTGTCGGCTCTTGTTGGCCACTCAGCTGGTTGACCCTGCTGGTTGTGGCTTCACTCCCCGATTGCCTGTCATGGTTAATGCACACGGCAGTGCTCCGGCATCCGCACTAACTCTGCGTGAGAGAGTGGGTTGTCGGGTCACAGCTCAGCCCAGTGGGAGCACAAGGCAAGCCGACGGTGCACTGTGACTGGAGTCCCCATCCTCGGCCCCAGGGCTCGGTCCCCAGCAGCGCTGGCTCGGCGCGCCCCTGGCCAGTCTGGAGCATGACACTGATTCTTGGTCTTGTCTGGAGCTTGTCAAGGTGCCGTGTTCCTTTCTAAGCTGGGATCGTCCAGCTGGAGCGTGAAGAAAACCAAAATCATATTTTCAGGAGGGAGTAGAATCTTTTGGCTGAAAGCTTTCCTCTTAAAGCGCTAATGTCATCACTGAGGAAAACATTGCCGTGCCTTTAAAAGAAAAAAAAGAACTACCCTTGCATCTGTAGTAACGGTTTGCTGACTCAGAGCAATTATGAAGTGGATTTGTCCGTCCTTCCCTGACTTAAAGGTGATTGCAGGAGTTAGCTTGTGTGAGAAACCGCCCGCTCCAGCCCCCAGGCAGGCAGGAATGTCTTTCTGAAACAGTTGAGCAAATTCCCAGATTAGAAAGGGTCTGCTGCAGCTGACCTCACTCTTTCATGAGTAATTCTGGCTGGTTATTGACGGCGCTCCACCCGGAGGCTCGAAACCGTGAATGAGCGTCATTCTCAGAGGCCGAGCAGGGGCTGGCGGCGTGCAGGAGAGAGCCGCGGCCGCGGTGAGGCCCAGGGGCGCGGGGACCTGGCGCCCGCCGAGCCCCCCGGGGTCCTGCGGCCCGGGGAGCTGGCGGGGGCCCGCTCCGGCTGCGTTCTAGCTGGTGGGCGGCATGGCAGGCGGCCAAGGCTAAGGAGGTGCGCAGCCGTGCCCGAGGAGCGGTGGCCGCGGGCAGGGCGGCAGGTAGCCTCTGCCGGGCCGCGGTGAGGAGCGGCGGCCGGCTGCCTGCGTTCTCATTTTCCGGGTGAGATAAAGCACTGGCCAGGCTGAAAGTTCGGGAGACGGTAGTGAGCGGGGTAGGGAGATTATTGGCCAGATGGCGAATTTGTCACCCTGCGTGCTGCTGTGGTCACAGGACCTGGGGGTCTGTGTGCGTGTGAGGACCCCGTCCCAGCGCTTGGCCGTGCTTGACGAAGCCTTGCCTGGGATTTCTCAGGGCCGTTCTGTTCTGCTTAAAATAAACTTGGTGTACAAACATCTCCCCCGCCACCCCCTCCCCCCGGCTCATCTTTGATTTTCCGCAAGCCCTCCTAGTCTTCCCAGCTGTCCTTTCTTCACCTACGGCTGTGCTGAAAACCGACTTGCCGTTGGGACCGAGGCTGTTCTAGAGTCATCCTGTGCAGGGTTCAGAAACCTGATCCGATCTCCCTTTCCTTATTGTTTTCCTCTAGCTAGCCGGCTGGTGCTGCTCAGATAAGCCCGGGTGGGGTCTGGTGTGTGCTCGCTCACTCTGGCTGTCAGCTCCCCTTAAACCGTGTATTGTCTCTCTAGCACAATCCTGGAGGAGGAGAAGGTTCAGCAAGAAGAACGGATGAGGATGGAGTCCAGAAGACAGGTCACAGTGTCCTGGGACTCCGGAGGGTCCGACGAAGCGCCACCCAAGGTAGCAAAGGCCCCTACCCCCATTTGGCATTATTACTCCTGCTGACTTTCGAGGTGGATGGTGTAGGCAGCTGCTGTGTGTGGGGAGATAGCCAAGCATCAGGTGGTTCTAGGAATCGTCCTTACAGCCCCACTGCTCCTGCTCGTTTGCCCTGCATGTTACCCTCACGTGCACTCCCTTCCTAATTTGCATTTCAGCTGTAGGCCGGTGTCAGGCTCCAGCCGTTAGATTAGATGTGGTCTTAAAAGCCTCTCCCTTGGCTCCCCACCCCCCATCCTCAGACTCCAGTGAGCACACCAGGTGTGGAGGAGGGTTTTCCTTTGTTGCTTGTCAGGGACCTTGCTAAGGATCGAGTCGGGATGAAAACCTCAGATGGACTAAAACCAGCCACCTGAATGCTTTACATTTTGCTCTATTTTAAATTGAGTCAAATTGCACCTAACCCCGTTCCTTTAGGGTAGGGTTTGGGTGAGAGCCTTGTGCATTCCCTGCCTGCTGTCCGTGGCTGTCCGTGGCTGGCTTCTAGGTTTGGGGACTGGAGGCACGTTGCATTCGCGTGTTAAGATCTGCAGGCAACATCCCCAGGCCTTGCCTGTCCACCGTCTCCAAATCCTCAACCTCTGGGAGGTGGCCAAAGCCTTCCCCTGTTGCTCAGCCACACTGTGGCTGAGGTTTTGGACATAGTTGGCCCTTAAACGCTCCCATGAGATTAAGAATTCTTTATACACCTTTTGCTTTTGACAGAATGGTATTTTTACACAGTGGCTTACTTGCCATGAATAATCCAGTTTAGAACATTTTCTGGAATGTAAATAGATAATAGGCTTTACCTACTAAATGAGCTAAAAATATATTAAGCTGACAATTCTTCATTTTCTTTTTGAAAAATGTTCAGAGGCCCATTAGTACAAAGTACGATTTAAATATTGTACCTATTTTTTTTATGATGCCTGAAAGCTTGTATCTTCTTGGTTAGTATTTTCAACTGTGTAACGGTAAACGTTATCACACATTTAAGGTGACTACAGGTGACTGACACAATTCTTCAGAATTTTAGAGGTGAAGGGTTCCCTAGTCCAGTCTCCTGAACAAGTAGAAAAACTGAGGCCCAGAGGAGGCAGGCCACACCATCTGTCAACTGGTGTTCCTTTGAGTGAGTTAGTGACAAAACCAGTATGCTTCTGTGTCTCCTGGTTTAACAACAACCATAAACCCTTAGTTACCCACAGAAGAACTGAGAGAACTGAGAGCCCCTCATCCCAACATGTCCGGCCCTTCCCTTTGTATATACACGTTTGCCTGTTTCTTAACTTGGGAGCAACGGGACAGTGGTCTGGGCCTGGGAGGTGGGAGAGTCTCGAAGCTCGACCTCGGGCCTAGGGGCCAAGTGGATCTCTTCAGAGGGGCTCTGATGACTGGGCAGTCCCCCTGCCTGTTGCCAACCTCACTCTCCTCGCTGTGCAACAAGCGTGTTAACATCCCTACCCCTTGGGGGTGCGGTGAAGGCCGCGGGAGGTCCTGCGTCTGCGGCCCTTGAGGGAGTCAGGGAGGCGTCAGGTGCTATACGCACTTGGTGGTGAGCACCACACCTTGCAGCATCCCCCAAAGCCCACAGAATTAAAGAACTTTGTCCATCTCGGCGTTCTCCTATATCCCAGTCTGTAGGATATTTAATCATTTTCATTTGGCTAAATTTTAGATGCTATAGTATGAGGTTAGGCTTTTTCTGTTTTAGAATACAAAGACTTTTTTTTCTGGTTTTGAGACCTTTTTCAAAGTGCCTGTTTCGAGACTCTTCTCTATAATTGGAGATTGTTCTGCCCTTTACAGTGGGTCAGCAGACTAGCCCACTGCCTACTTTTGTGATTAGAGTTTTATCGGAATGGATTGCATGCTTCGTTTGTGTCTTGTCCCTGGCTGGTTTCAGGCTGCGGCAGGGTCAAACACTCAGTCAGAGCGTGGCTGCACAGATTAAAATATTCACTCTTTGACACTTGGAGGAGAAGGTTGACAACCTGTGGATTACGTTTTCATGGCTAGAAAATCATCTGCACTAGTGTAAATATACAGATGCTTAATGAACATAAACAAATACACTAATTATTTGGCTCCCTTGCCAATCAGAACCAGGTCTGGATGCGGTTTTTCCCTTCTCTATGGTAGAATCAGACTCTGCTCATATGGGCCCTGTATTTGACCCAGCTACAAGTAAGTCCTGGTCTCCAGGATGCTGGCCCAGCGTTGCATCCTGCAGTTTCCTCCACCCTGTGAACTGGGAACTCTGGAGCTTCGTCAGTCTTTATAGTGCTCACTGTGCTGTCTTTGGACAACAAATTCCACTTCATTTTCTTCGGTTCACAGAGGATTTTGGCTTTTGTAGATGAATGTTGTGTACTAATAAAATTTGCAATGTAGCCTAGTTAGTTTTTTAAAGTGAAATATTTTTCTCTCCCACATTCAAGATTCAAAATGAAAAACTTAGTCTGCCTCCGGCTCAGCTCATGATCCCAGGGTCTTGGGCTCGAGCCCCACATGGAGCTCCCTGCCCAGCAGGGAGCCTGCTTCTCCCTCTGCCACTGCCCCTGCTCGTATTCCCTCTCTCTCTCTCTCTCTCTCTCTCTCTCTCTCTCTCTCTCTCTCTCTCTGTTTCTCAAATAAATAAATGAAATCTTTAAAAAAATTTAAAGTCTTAGTTATAAGACTTAATGGCAAAAGCATTATAACTGCAAAGCTAATTATTAAAAACCTGTTACCAGTTTCTTCATCGGTACTTAATACCAATTTTTTCAAACAATAATAATCTTTGGAGAAGTTTGCCCATGAGGAGTGCAGCCTGGGTTCATTTCATTGCTGCAAGTTGTCCTGCACGTCCCCATCGGATCAGTGGAGAGCCTCTGGCTAAAAATATCCTTTTCGGCAGTTTTGAAAATATATTTCTTGGACCTCCGGGTCCCCAAGACCATTTCAGAGGGCCGTGAGAGCAAAATCCATTTCATAATAATGTCCATGTGTCATTGGCCTCATCCATTCTGCTGGCATTTGCAGTCCTGTTGCAGATGTAACAGTGAACGAAGCCGTGGTCACCTTGGCACATGCCAGGGCAATGGTGCCATACCGTGCTGGTCATCACTCTATTCGTCACCGTGCTCACGCAAGAAAGAGACGCCAGAGTGCTGAAGAATGACCTTGATGAAGCAGTCACAGGCCTTCTGTGGGAGGAAACAGCAAGCACAGGGAAGACGCTGTGTGGCTGAGTTGAGGAACTAACCACTTTTCTCATGGAAAACCAGTTTTTCTCGAAAGTAGAGTGGGCAGACACTGTGGTTGTTCAGAGTTGTGCATTTGGCAGACATTTTCTCAAAAAAGAAAGAAGTGAGACTGTGTCATCAAGGAGAACAACTGATAGCTTGTTGCTCTTGATAAAATTTTAGTTTTCAAGCAAAAATTAGAATTCTGAAAAACATCCATCACCATGACTTTGACAGCGTCCCAACTCTGAGACTTTTCTGATGAGCTCAGACTGACGTTAACAAATCTGATTTTTCCATGTGTCTACTGAAATGAGTCGGCGTTGTGAAGGTCTACGTACCGCAGCCACTCGCATTCTCCAGATGATCGCTGCAGGACGCCACAGAATCACACGTAGGTAGACGATCCATTCACAGTACAAGACGGAGTCACGGATCTTAATGTCATAGATAATGACACTGTTTCACATTCCACACTGCAAGTCAAGAAACCACCACTTTCTGAGTTGGGGTGTAATATCAGAAACAATGCCCACAACTGTGCTGAGAAACTCTTAGACTCCTGCCTTCCCAGCTGTACGGCTATGTGAGGCTGGATTTTCTCCGTGCACCGCAGCGCAACAGCACAGCACGGCCGACGGAGCGGAAGCCCGTGGGAGAACGGGCGGCCTCCTGCTAGGCCTGACGTCATAGGAAATGCATACACGCACGTGACAGGGGCCACTCCGCTCGCTGAATTTTTTTTAATAGGTATTTTTTTTAAACATGTAGTTTGTATTTTTAAGTGTTTTAATTTTAATAATGTGAACATTGGTAGATAATATTCCAGCTAAAGCCCTTGGAGTCCTCAGTAATTTTTGAAAATTTTTAAAGGGGTCCTGAAAATAAAGCATTTCAGAGTGGCTGCCTCAGAAGGGTTTCTCAGCCCTAACAGGACCCAGCACTCCACTTCTGTAAGAAGTGTTTTGTGATATCCCGCGCTAGCCCTCAGGTAAAATACACAGGGAGTAAAATGACTTCCTAATTTCAAAATGCCAGTTCTTCGACTGCTGACTGCACAAGAAAGCTAAAACGCGAGGCACACACCTGTGGGAGACACTCAGGTGGGATCACACCCACAGGAGTGGAGAGGTGGCCAGGTGCTGGCGCCTGTGTGTGGGCACGCCGCAGGGACACAGCTACAAATGCACAGCCCACGGCCACAGCGGAGCGTGAATTTCACTGGTCGTGTGATATGATTTTCTAGAATCTTGGTAAAGTTCAAACAAAACAAAGTAACATTGTCCGTCAGTATACACAGGAGTTGCTGTTCCAGGAGGTTCAGTGTCCTCGTGTCATTGGCCTCGTCCGTTCTGCTGGCATTTGCAGTGTTACTTGGGTTCGGGTTACAGGACTTTGTTGTTGTTTTACCTCCGTAAGTTGGAGCGGGGCGTCTGAGAGGAGAGCGGGCCCCGTCGTTCTGACCCTGGGCGCCGGTGGCCGCGCTCAGCAGCCGCGCCCTCTCAGGTCCTCTCAACACCTGGCAGCAGGACCACCGCCTGACTCAGAACGCAGCTGCCTCCGGTTAAGGTGGGTCCAGTTTTCCTTCTCTTCCTCCTCGGCAGGACTTCCACAGACACTCCCTCAGCTCCATCATTTGCTTTATTAAAAAACAGTACAACCTAAGTTTGTGTCTTTGAGAAGGAGGGAGTGACACCCTGCTGAATCGTAATACTTAGTAGCAAGTGACACTTTGGGGCACTTGTGCGGAAGCCATCTGCAGAGAACCTGACGTGTTGTTCCATCTTCACGAGAGCTCTGTCCCCATTGCCCCATTGAGAATGTGGAAGCACAGAGCGGGGAGCGGCCCCAACCACAAACCCTGGCCCTCGGGTCCCGAGCCTGCCCCCGCCTGCCATGCTGGCTCCCTGTTTGACGGTACGTGTGCACTCTCCACAGCCACTGGTTAGCAGAATTTGGTTTTGTGGTACTCTTGGTGCGATCGTTTTGTCTGCCCTAAAGCTTGTTTTCATCTTCCTGTTTTACTTTGAAATGGAACCCTGCACATGCTCTTTTGCTATCCACTGAAGTCGGAGTCCCTCGGGAATGTTGTATGGAGATTTTTCCAGTTTCTGGTCAATTCCTTTCGTTTCTTCCTTTTTATTTGTCAAGTCCAAGTGCGCCGGTCATCGAGCAGCATCCCCACGTAGCAGATTTCGGAGCGAGCGGTTCCACCAGTATGGACCGTGCAGCCTGTTCACATTGCCTGACCTCTCCAAGCCTCGGTTTCATCCTCTGTAGGGTGATAATATTCCTGGGTGGCATGCTGTTCAGCTTGTCACATCGTGTGGGAAGCATCTAGCTCTGTGCACTCAGGCCATGCTGAGTAAAAGTTTATTTGTGCCGGCGTTACTTACACGCCACCTCCAGAATCTAAGCCAGGGGACACAACTGTACAACCATCAGTGTGTTTACTGTCCGAATCCTTGACGCTGCATCCGTCCATGCTTGGACTACGGGAGGCCTTTCCCAGAGCACCACACCATGCTTACATGTTAACACATTGCTTTACAACGAGTGCTGCCTCTCCAATGTCCTACAACGGAAATAGTCGAACTTTGTTGTTTGTTGTTTTTCTTTACCTCTCTTAACCACTTGTTCAAATGAAACCTTTAAAAAATACATCTGAAGGGTAGTCCCTTGGGCTTCATGGAACATACTTTGGAAATTGCCACCCTAGAACACAGGGTAAAGCCTATGACACCCCCTTGATGTCCCTTTCCTGTTTCCAGGGGTCTTTGGGATCCATCCTGATATTTGGGTAAGTTTGGGGTGAATCGCATCTGGGCTACTGAAGGGTCGGCTAAAGGGATGAAGGCACATTTTCCAGCCAAGGAGGTGGAAGCAGGCCTGCAGTAGTAGGGCTAGAGCAGATAGAGGCAGCTGCGTTCCGAGACAGGATTGGAAATGCACCACTGGGGAGAGCAGAGTACTGGGGTGTTACATCGGATGGGAGAAAACAAGAGATTTCAGGCACTCTCCATAGAAGACTCAAAGGACGGGCAGTGGAGACAGTGTGAGCAGAGCGGTGGGGTAGTGAGGCTCCTCCTGGACACCCAGACTTCCTCAGATCTTAATTCGAGCAAAGCATGTGTTCCTCCAGGACCGTGTGCGTCCATGGGAAGAGACAGGGGCTCTGAGGTGTTTCTTTCCTTCCCTGGGCTTGCTGGCACCTAAATCCGTCTCCTTTTATTCTGGACTTCATTTGGCTGGAGAATAGTGGGTTTCTGCTCTGTTAAATCCATCAGATTTAGAAAATTTTGTGGACTTCGGTTTCAGACTAAACCATTCTTTTGCTGTGAACTTTAAATTCATGTAGGTCGCAAACAGATTGAGAAGTTTAGACTGGGGGTGACTTCCGAGTCCGTGTAGCTCAGCTCCTGTCTGATAGACGCAGAAACCAGTCGGCTACCCACTTGCCCGGTCACAGGGCCAGGAAGCCACGGAGCCAAATGAACTCCCTGCTCCGAAAGCCTCCCAATTTGCATTTCCTTGGTGCCGGAAGGTGTCACGCATCTTGTTGGCCAGTGATAGATCTCCCTCAGATCTGCTCAAGTCCTTTGCCCACTGTTTATTCAGATTATTTATCATTTTATTGTTGAGCTCCAAGAGTTCTTTGTATATTCTGGATATGATTCTCTCATACATACCTGATATGCAAATGTTTTCTTCCGTTCTGTGGGTTGTCTCTTTCTTGGTGGTGCCATTTGTAGCACAGAAGCTTTTAATTTGGATGATGGTGCGATTTATCTTTTTCGTTCTCTCTCATTGATTGAGCTTTTGGTGTCCTGTCTACAAAACCATTGCCTACCCAGAGTTACAAAGACTTGCCCCTTCTCTTAAGAGTTTTATAGTTTTACCTCTTACGTTTAGATCTGTGATCCATTTTGAGTTAATCTGTGTGTGTATTGTGGGGAAGGGGTCCAGCTTCGTGTTTTCACATGGGGATACCCTGCTGTTCCGGACGTTTGTGGGAAAGACTGTGTTCCCCACTGAAGTGTCTGGATGCTCTTTATCATTCTTTCCAACTAAAGTCTTTTAGAGAAATGCCTTTTTCTGTTATTTTCAATAAAACATAGGTTTAACAAAATTTTCAAAATATTCATTCCTATGATGCTCTGTTGTTGTGTTCACAGCCCAGCAGACCCGGGTACCCGAGTCCAAGGTCCAGTGAAGGATTTTATCCCAGCCCACAGCACATGGTACAAACCAATCATTACCAGGTATGGAGGCATTACAAACATAAGACATCTTTTATTCTTCATGCTTGGAGGTGGAGAGGGACACTGTAAATTTTATATTCTTCATTTCTGTACGTAGGAGTATGATTTGGCAAGCAGAAAGCTAAGAGAGTAATCAACCTAATAATTGTCTAAGTGGCTGTTGGGCCTTAAAGCAGCTGGGCAGGTGCCCTGCCCCACGTTCTCTACTCCATTCCTTTCCTGCATTCGGGTGATGTGTGGGGCAAATCCGGTGGCTCTTTCTATATGCAGAGGTAGTAATGAACTGGGTGGTGTTTCTGGAAGGCAAGAATAACATTCAAATTTACCTTAAAAACCAGACAAGATGCCATCTTGGACAGGTGTGGATAGAGTATCAGACTTACAGGCAAATATCTTATACAAATTAGGAAAGACAGTCCTTGAAACAAAAGGGCCAGAAGCAAAGTCAATCATGTTTTGGTCTTGAGGGGAGAGTATTTGTAAATGCACAGATGTTTGTTCTGACAGACATGTACACCTGTGTCCCCCACACCACACCAAGACAGAGAACATGTCTGTCACCCTGGAAGGAGCCCTCCCCTCCCAGTCAGTCGCCGGCTGCCCGGGCACAGCCATTCTCCGACGGTTGCCCGCAATTGGTGTTGCGTGTTTTGGACTTTGAGATAAATGGATCAGACAGGGTGTCCTCTTGCGTGCTCAGCTGCTTGTACTTGTGTGGTGTCTTCAAGTATTCACAACTTTCCAATGCTGAGGAGTACTCCACTGTGTGGCTGTACCACAGATTGTGAAGCCATAGTCATGTTATTTGGAGAATAGGCCAAATCACTTCTAGGAAGGAAAATCACTTCTGGTAATTTGTGTCGGCTGTGGCTCTTTTGTAGCCGCGCCCTTTGGTGTTACTGACTGATTCTCGCAGCTGACTCACTAGGTCGGTTATGATAACCAGCCTTGAGTGGAAAGCACTTCACTGAAGAATAAGTCACACACAGAACAAGCAGTGGGTAGTCCTTGGGTCTTTGTCCGGAGAGGGAGAAGCTGAAAGTTCCCTTAACTGCCATCTCCTTCGACACATCTCTCAGGAGCAAAAAGAGAAGCACGCTTACCGGGCCTCCTCCATGGGGTTGCTGAGCGTCAAATGAAAGCATTTTTATTCTTTTACATGCCTCTCAACTGTGACTTAAATCCAGGCCTCTTGGATCAGTATGGACAAACACTCTTCGCTGTTGGCATAGGGTCCCAGGGAAAGGGTGTGGGCCGTCCTGTACTAGAAAGGATGGTAGTACATCGAGACACTGAAATTGGGTCCGTGGCAGGCTCTTCACCTGCTTTGCTGCCTCCAGATCCCCCTGTACTAATTCTGAAGGGGGACCCAGGAGTGTCACGTTGTTAACAGGCGCCCCCAGGTGATGCTGCAGGACCGAGAGCCCTGTTTTGGGAAACACTGTTCTGAGACACCCACTTGCCTGGAGGAGGCGTGAATCCCTGGGCCCCCCAGACCTGTTTGGGGAAGGCGCAACAGCATCTGCTGATAAGACAGAATGCAGGCCTCCGCAGGCCCTCACCCCACCCCCAGGGCACACTGGCCTCTGCCACTTCTACCACCTGGGGTCCGGTGCGTGTTTGTGTGTGGCTGCCCCCCGCCCCCCTCCCCAGAGGGGAAGCCCGTGAGGACCGCGGGCTTGTCTCTACTTTAAGTGCCTGGAACATTGTGTAGAACAGAGTAAGGACGCAGTGGATACACTGAAGCATTCCTGTTTTCATCAAGCAAAGGAGCGGTTAGGCTCTCCCGGGCCCCGAGTTTCCTTGTCTTGTAAGTGAGACGGCTATAGGACATTGCCTGGTGTTATTTCATGTTCCTTCTTAGCCGAAAATGCTCAGCGATCCTGTCACACGGTTGGTGTTATGTAGAAAACTGCCACAGAACATTTGAAATCTCTTTGTTGTGCAAATTCCTAAAAGTTATTTGGCAGTAACGTATCCCTTCTGACCAAAAATAGTAGTGATGTGACATTTCATGTTTAGTAGAATTTTTTATTGAAATACTTTGACTCTAGTAAACTGTGAGAATGATCTGTGCATATTATTTGAAAGTTTATTAGTTATATATTGTCAGTATGCAATTTTGGCATAAATCAGTGCCTAGAGGCCTAACAAATGCACAAAGTCTTTGTTGAAGAATGTGTTGATGTTTGGAAATACTGGATTTGGCTGTGCCTTATCTCACTGAAAAAGTGACTGAACAACCCTGCCCCTGCAGTACTAGCCCAGTGGGTTACAGAAACACGGCTAATCCTGGCCTCTCTCTCTCGACTGGGGGAGGAAGCCGAATAAAGAAACCCCTCTCATTTTCCTCATTTTCCTTCTGCCCTGGAATTTTTCTCTGTGTGCACCTGAACGTCTTTTCTCTGCCACAGTCATCATGGTTAGAACACGACACCTGCGTCTCTCATCATCAGCCCTGGTTGGTTAGGAGGTGCTCTAGAGCAGTGCCCACTGAGCCACATTCATGGCCCCTGGTGCTTTTGCATCAAGGGTGCAGAGTTGCAAAGTAAATTTCTGATTGCCTGGTGTATATTTGCATTACTTACGTGGCCTCCATGGATTACCTTTCTTGAGGCTTTAGTTGAGAATCCATTTCCTTGCCTTTACCACCTTCCAGAGCCACCTGCATCCCTTGGCCATGACCCTTCCCCCTCTTCAAAACCAGCGGTGCCGTATCTCTCTGACCACTCTTCAGTAGCCATTTCTCCCCTTCTGCTCCCCCCTTCCACTGGTATAAGGAATCTGCTTTTACATTAGGTCCACTCGGATGATCCAGGGTCATCTCCCCATCTCAAGGGACCCCTCAGGCTCCGGGGATCCACACGTGGATGTCTGTGGGCACCATTGTTCTGTTTGCACAGTGTTCTCGGTCATCTTAGTTGCTTCTTTGCATGTGGAAAGCAGAACTGTGCGAAAGCATGCTGTGCTGGAGCATGACCCTGCTGCCCCGCATTCGCAGGTCTCTGGCTATCCTGGTTCACATGGGATCACGGCCATGGCTGGCAGCATCTACCCGGGTCAGGCATCTCTTTTGGACCAGACGGATTCCTGGAATCATAGACCGCAGGAGATATCAATGTGGCAGCCCAACGTGGAGGTAACCTGGATGTTCTTGGGCTTTCGTTTGTTAGCTGATGAAGCTTTCCCTAGAGTACCTTTATTTCTGAATCCTAAGAGTTACTGATTTTGATGACCTAATTCTAAAATCAAGGCGTTGCATCTCAAATTCTCCCCGGTTCTGTGAATCCTTTTTACTAAAAGAAAGAGACGTCGCCATCATTAGCCCACCCGCCTGAAAGGCAGTACGTCAGGCTGAACATAATTAGCGTGTGTGTGAGGCATATCCCAGGAAGGAGCCGGAGACAACCTCCCGCTCCGTGGGCCACATTAACTAGATTTGCCTGGTACACCAAGAACCCCACCTGTAACAGTAAATGTTTCTTTGACTCCCAGAACACCTATAGTCTGCTGCTCGTGCCCTTGCCCTTCTTGGGGTGAGCATGTTTTAACAATTGCTTAGTGCTCCACGGCACGCGTGGACTGAGCTAATCCTTCCACTCTACCTCCAGATTGTTTTCACTTCTTCACTGCAACCAGCGATGCATTCTCTGCACATACCTTGGATTCTTCCTTTCTTTTTTTTAAGATTTTTATCCATTCATTTGAGAGAGGGAGAACGCACGAGTCGGGGGAGGGGCAGCGGGAGAGAGACAAGCAGAATCCCTACCTAGCAGGAAGCCTGACGCCGGGCTGGATCCCAGGACCCCGAGATCACAGCCCAATCCAAAGTCAGATGCTTAACCAACTGAGCCACCCAGGTGCCCTGGGTTATTTCTTGAGAATAAATCCCCGTGAGTGGAGCTATGAGCTGAACGACTCTGTACTTGTTAAAGATGCTTGGCAGGTGGTAACTTGCAACCTCCGGGAAAGCTGCTCCCATGAGCAGAGTCTAAGAGACCCTATTTCCACCACCCTTGCTATTTTGCTGCTTTTTTTTTTTTTTTTTGGAAAAACACAGAAAACAGAGCATCCTAAATAGGCTCCCGAGAGTGGATGTGCTCTTTTATTTACTCCCCTGCTAGGACTCCGCTGCACTGGACCTGCGTGGGATCGGGCAGGTGTTGCCGACCCACCTGATGGAAGAGCGGCTGATCCGGCAGCAGCAGGAGATGGAAGAAGATCAGCGCTGGCTAGAAAAAGAGGAGAGATTCCTGGTAATTATGTTTCTAGTAATTCGGATTTCTTCTACTTGTGAAGCTCTGCCAGAGTCTACTATATTACAGATGATTGGAAAAGCTTGTCTTTTTCAGAACAAGAGAGATCCTTTTACATCCGGTCCCTAACACTTGCAGTCGTGGGTTATTTGCTTTTCTTGGATTTTTTCTGGCCAGATTTCTGAGATTTTAGTAGCGGCATTACAGGCTCAGAGGTGTGAGCATCTCTGTGGTTTTCGCAGAAGCAGTTACCCCTGTAGTGTCCGCTTGCATGTAAGACTTTGCATTTTGCTCCTACAGCACGTATAACCAGACAGCCGAGAACCCAGGGCCTGCCTTCACGGCATTCCTCCTCCTGTGGTCTGACAGGTGCCTCCCACACATACCTGGACGGCCTCAGAAGTCTCCTGCGACAGAGGAAGTGGTGAGGCAGAGCTGTCTCTGCGTGTCTCTTGACACAAGGGCCTTTTGGACTCATGGCCCCGCTGCCAAGCATTTCTGTGCCCTCGGCCCCAGAACCCACTCCCCCGTCAGCCCACACGGCTAGTTCAGTCTTCCTGGAATAGCCTGAAAAGGATGGCTGAACAGAGCCAGGACCCCTAGTGTTTCCACAAATTCATGAGTCGGTACCTCCCTCTGGGTAGTCCAGAGCCGGTCCCTCATGCTCCAATTCAGTAAACATTCCTCGAAGCCACATCTGTGTCAAGCTGTGTGCTGAGAGACCAGACACCCGCGAGGGTAGGGGACAGTTTTCAAATCACTTAGTCTTCCAGGCACAGAAACACTGAAAGCAACAATGAATGGTATTAGGCAACAGTGGTTTCAACCTGCACAGTTCATCAACATGCGACTCTGATTTCATCCTTTATATGTGGCTGTCATTTTTTTTAAATTGTGGTTGAGAATTAAACACTCAGGCTCGGTGATGCACATTTTCACTGTTGGAGAGGCCAGCGCCCTCCGCACAGTGTGCTGGGCTGCCCTCAGCAAGCCTGCCATCTTGGTGCACACGGGAGCGTGGGGCACACTGGGAGGCCTGCAGACGTCACACGCGCTCAACGCTCGGTACTGCCAGTCAGGACTAGTGCACGCTTCCTCAGCACACGCCCCGCTCACAGCTGAACGCCTCAGATCCTAGGTGACATCTGCCACGTGCCGGTCGCCATCTGACATATTTCTCATATATGAAGACAGTCCATCCGCTCAGCCACCCCACAAGGAAGAGACGGGTCCAGAATCCTTTACCTGTAATTCTTGAAGGTTTTATGTGCTTCAGAATTCAGTATTTTTTTGCTATAGAAAATCAATGTAGTGTGGTGCACATGCCACGGATGAGGTCACGTTCCAGTAGCATCCCAGAGGTAAGAGCGCCAATATTCATGTATCAAAACACGAATGTTCACATGAACAGGTATAAATAACAGACTTCACGTGAGTTCAGGCCAGGTTTTGCCATGAAATTAGCTTGCTTCAGACGCAAAAGAAAATAAAAATTAAACTAAATTAAATTTCCAATCTTTGGTGCTTTTTAAATTTTGGAAACGAGGATAAGGGAGTGTGCACCTGTCCCTGTATCACCCTTATTTTACGGCAGAGGAGATTTCCCAAGGTCGCCCAGCTAGCGTGTGACAGAGCCGGAGTCAGCCTGGAGTCCTGCTGCAGGGTCAGGCCTGGCTACCGTACCGCGCTGCTCAGCGCCCGCCAGGTGTGAGGCAGCATCCTGCTGGGGGTACTTCTACGTCTTCTCTACAGACATTTACAGCAAGGTGTATGAAACGTGGATGGGCACCATGAGGGATTCACTTTTGAACAGAAGTTTCAAACTATCAAAAATGTAAATTACTTGAAGCATACCTCGATGTAAGGTGAGCTATGGACAGTGGTGCTTGTTTACAAAAGCAATCTGAGCAGGTCCGTTCAGGTCTGGAGTGGGCTTCAAGAACGGCTGTTCCCTAGGCCCTCTTAGACGTTTGTCCAGACAGCCTACCTATTTTCCTGCATTGATGTGGGATTTAAAAAAGTCAGTATTACATATTTTCCAACCTAGAGCTGATGTGTCTAAATACCACTGTCTTGCATACGACTGACGGCACGTGAACGAAACGTTTTCTTCCAGTCGTGGCGTGCCGGCCCGGGGTGCCACTCTGCTGGTGCCCCGTGTGCAGCAAGGGCACATGAGGAGCCCGCGGGTGCCTGCAGGAGTCGGGGACGGTGCCAGAGGCCAGATACATTGAGCCAAGGCTGAAAGATCCATTGGACTCTACAAGGCAAACGAGTTCAGGGAATGCCACAAGGCAGAGAGGAGGAGCATGTCTAATGACGTGGGTCAGAAGACTGTTCTCAGACCCCCCACCCACGCTAGACGGACCATAGTAGTGGGACGTAGCTAATGAGTTCAGCGCCAACTCTTGTCTTCCGAGTGGGTTCATGACCTGGCTGGTTCGCTTTTGGGCTTTTTCTTGTCGTTGAGATTGTTTATATGCAGTGGACTGAACAGGCCCTAGCGTGTACGGTTGGGTGAGTTTGATAAATGTGTAAGTCCGTGGACCCCACACCCCATACACAGGACGTTTCCAAGACTCCACATAGCTTTCAGATTATGTTCAAAGACCATTAGTGAAGCTGTATAAAATGCTCCCCAGGACTCCAGTCCGCACCGCACCTCACCTGCAGAACGGCCTGAGCACTGTGGCATCCTCAGTTGAGCATGTCTGCGCAGCTCAGGACCTTCCCCAGGATTTGTTCCCCGTGTCCTTTACTGCTCCCGTGCAGCTTTTATGATTTTTTTTAAGTGTGTGTCTTGCTTCCCTTGCTGAATTCCTGCCCATCCACTTAGAGCTTCCTGCCACTGCTCTAACGGTGTGGTTTTCATTGAGTTTGGTGGTTGTGCATTTTCTGTGTGTGCATGTGCCGTTGGTTTTTAGACCTTTCTCTTGTATTTTCCAGCATCTATCACATGAACTCTAATTTCTTTGGATTTTCTGTTGCTTTTTCCCCCATTTTGAGGCATAACTGACACACGTGACTTTTTAAAAAGATTTTTTCTTCATTTTCAATGTTTGTTACATTGTATTCTCTTCTGAAGCATCTCTTGCCAACTTTCATATTAAATAGGTCCTTGCCTGCTTTTATTTTTAAAGATGTTGTCTGTAATGGTTTTCCCATTAGGTATAATATTGGCTCTGTATTTTACAGACATTATTTTTTAAGAAAAACTTGTGAGGACATTGACATGATGAGTAATGTGGGACATTTTGCTTGGCTTTGGGCCAGCCCCCACATTCCAGAGTCAAGTCCCTACTTAAGGCATAATTGATCATTCTTTTAAGATCATGGCATATGTTGTTGTTTCCCATTAGAATTTAGTCGTGCTGTCCGTAAGTGAGAATGACTTATTTATTTCATTGTGGGCTTCAAGATCAAATCAGTACCGGTGTCCCAGGGGGTTGGATAATCCCTACCCCATCTTTGATTTGAGTGTTCACAAGGCAGGCATTGTCAGTGGTAGGGCTGAGGGCAAGCACGTAGTCAAGACAGGGGCCTGCTTCCAGCAGGAGTTGCAGGCAGAGGAACAAAAGCAAGGAGACCGGAGTGACATAAATGTCCGCATTGCTGTTTGCTGCCACAGCCACAGTGGTATTTCTAAAATCTGATGCTGTCACTCTCGGGCTTAAAATCTGCCCACGGCTACCATACGGTGGACCACCAGGCCTATGAGCTGACCCTCCATCCTTCCTGTCCAGCCGTCGTCAGTCAGCCCCTGACTGTGACAGAGAGGACTGGGCACAGGAGGCGAGGCCCCGCACACACAGCCTTTGGGGAAGGCCGAGCAGCTGAAATGACCAGCAAGGGCCAGCCCAGGGACATCTGGGGAAGACATTCCAGGAAGATCGCACACCAAGCACAAGGGCCTAAGGATGTCTGAGCACAGAAAGACCACCATGGTGGATAAAGGCGGACAGACAACACAGGGCCCCTTAGGCAATGGCAGGCTGGAGGGAGCCAGGGGCCAGGGGCATGGGAGGTGGTGGGAACACGGTGAGCACACTACATGTTGGCACTCAGAATGATCATTCCTGGCTTGGACTCTCCTTTTCAAGAAGGCACTACTAGGAAGAACCCAGACTCTGGACTCAGCCAAATGAGAATTAAAAATCCTAGTTATTATGACCCTATATAAATTGTTTAACTTCTAGGCTTTCATTTATTAATCTGTTAATGTATAAAATAATTATAATCTCTATAAAGTGTGGGTAATACTTCCAGGGCTAGGTCGAGGATTGAATGTGCCGCACATATACAGTAGGCAAGTAAAGGATGCACAATAGTTTCTCTAAGGGCTTTTCTTTCTCACCCAGCTTGTTCTCTATAGCACCTCTGAGAGCTGCATTGCTGAGACTCTAAAATCCTAGATCCTATCCTGCATACTACACAGAGTTCCCAAAGGCCGTCCCAGAGTACCTTCTGGCTGCTCCTGACCAAAAACTAACATAATAGACTGAGTGAGAGATTTAGCCACTTGCAGAGATTCTTCAAAGGAGCATTGCTTTTATTAGATTGGCTTGTTGGTACAAAAAAACCTTAATTCCTTTTTGCTATTGGTAGAGCTCCCATTAGTGGATTATTTTTAGCAGCTAGCTAACAAGGCCCCTGCTTTGACTAGACCCACGTGTTCTTCCAGGATGTGGAGACTGAGGGCAGGAAGCAGCCTTTCAGGCCAGGGCTCTACGCTGCAGGCTTCTCAAGCTGTCAGTGAGGAAGGGTCAGTTTCTGGGTTTTTTTCTAAACCATTGTAGATGTGACATCCTTGTAAAATAAAATAAAAAGCAATTACTAGAAAAAAGAAATTTTTTTAAAAAATAGGCAAAATATGAGCCAGACTTGTTTATATAAACTCCAACAAGCCTAAAAATTACTGTTTCAGATTGCTCTAGAACTTTCTGAAGATTCTTGCCTCCTGTGTGTCTCATCATGGCCTGGTGACACACCATCCCTGACCC